CTTTTTTTTTCAATTATTGTATACTGTACAATGGACAAAACCAATGGTTTTTTAGTATAATCTTATTCAAGTTTAGATACTTGAATACTGTATTACATACAATTCTCAAAATGGGCCCATCAGTGGCCCAGTGAATAAAACTACCGAACACTGTCTCCCTGCCACGTGGAGTTTCCCGAGCTTTCTTCGCGTGTCTAACACCTAAAAAGGTGCCAGTTTCCAATAGAAAACCCTCCCGGAAGATACCCAGCTTGACAGATAGCCGATATATTGCCTTGCCTTATTCCATTAATCCAATTCAATTCTTAAAGTGTACAATGTTTACGGCTTAAGATCTTACACACGTTTGAATGTACAAATGTACGTATCCATTCGTTCCGTTCGAGTAATTTTAATATGTACAAATAATTCATTAAGACAATTTTAACATTTAGAACTTGCGTAAAATCCACTAAATCCAAGCAAATTTGTAGATATTTAAGAACCTATAATAAACTCAATAAGTGTACTTTTAAACATCATTTCCTTGCAAATATATCTCAAAGAATATATAAAGTTAGTAAACAAAACAACTAACTTGAGATTATTAGAGATTTTTCTTTGTATAAAAAACCGAATAAATTGAAAATATTCTAGCGAAATAGAAACTTATGCCGAAACACGAATGGAAAAAACAAAAAGCTTCTTTTTTGGAATGCTCACAAACTGAGTAATAAGAAGAAAGAAAAAGATGAGCTTTATATAGATTCTTTTAAAAAGTTATAAGCATTAAGGTTAGAGAAAAGAGCGGAAGAAGTGAAGCTACTTAATGCAGTGAACGGCAACTTTTCCAACTAAAGCCCTGTACAACATATTGATTGAAGCGATGATGCAAGAAAGATGAATGCAAGTTCAAAGACTGATGTCTACACTAATAGCCACAGAAAGCAACTTAAATCTACCATCTTGCAAAAATTCCCCCATTCTAGACTATCCCTAGGATAGACCTATAAAAAAAAGGGGGAAATATTCATAATTCAAACATATTGGGATCTTTAAAACTTTGCAAAAAATAAATAAAAATATAATAATAATAAAATCAAAAATAAAATCTCCCTTTTTCTTTTCTTCCGAATCTACTAAACGTGATAGAAATGGAAAAAATAAAAGAAAATTCTACAGAATAAATAAATATATATCATCGAGTTAGGATCAGAATGGAAAAAAATCTGCTAAATCCATCTGTAATATGTGAATTTATATGGAGGAACATCCAAATCTGGTTACACTTATCGTATTAAGAAGAATAAAATAGATTTCTGGTCGTCCATGCCGAAGTTAGGAAGTTGGATTAGTGATAAACTATATGGAATTTTCAATATCCTTGTATTATCATCACTCAGTTGTCCTTCGTCCATTTTTACCGTAAATATCCGGACATAAATTTATTATTCCTTCCATTATCAATTGCTAAATATAAAATATTTTCACGGATGAAAAAATATCCGATCTTTTGTACGTTTGTTTATTTTTAAATGTGATTTATAAGGAGGTTGCTTTAGCCGGCAAGTCGTGAGTAATTGAAGTAATTTTCCCGAAGACGGTTATATATTTGCATGAAAACTCTATCTGTATACAATACGTTAGAGTAAAGGTAACATGCCGTGTAAGTATCCATTTGTAAGTGTGTATGTATTAATAAGATGTAAGAACGTGTATAGATCTGTGTAAACAGAGCTTGGCATTGTTAACGCAATATACACCATCGACCAACACTAGTCAGGAATTATAAACCCAGCTCTGATCCGAAACGATGATGAAAAATCACGATTTGCATAGGATTCGAATCCGAATCTCTTACCAGGATAATACTTTATATGCTAATCACTTTTGCATATATCACACGAGTTATACGTAATATTATTAAGTTATGTGCTTGATACATATAGATCCGTAAGGCCATTTAGCCTTAATTTGCCACAAAAACATTTTTAAATAAATTATTCATTCTGTTATATTAAGAGAAAAAAGTTATTTATTTTTTAAAATACACAATATATTATTTTTGCCTAGCGTGACTTTGATTTTTAAATGTGCTAGGAAACTCAAAAAGTGCCTTTGAGAGGCCTAGATATATTTAAATATCTAAGGCCTCTCAGAGATCCTCTATACCAGGGATGACCTTTCTTTTTGAGTAAGCGTAGTTATCTTTAAAATTGTTTATGCCTGCCAAAGTTCTATACTTCGAATAATTATGTTTAAATAAATAAAATGAATACACTTTAATTAGAGTAAATGTAAATAAGTTGATTGTAAAAGGATGATCGGGTGATAAACCGAAATCGTATGATACGTTACGTGCCAGATGATTGCTCCGACGTGCCATAAGTTCTCCACCCCTGCTCTATACAGTATACGTATCAGGTAAATATATACTGTAGCGTAATTAAAATCGATATTACGGGGACTCGAATTAGATTAGATGGAATTAATGAGACAACACAACACATGGGTGATCTGTCAAGGGGCACAGTACCATCCTGGAGGACTTGCGGGAAACTAGCCCTCCTTAGGTATTATACACGTAAAGAAAATCCAGAAAACTCCATGCTGCCAACCCGTTGATCACACTTGAACACACTACCGGTATTCAGTTCAGTTATCCACTCGGAATTAGAACACGCAAATCTACATTCACCTCTGTACCACCAGTTTAAACTCTTGGATATTGTATAAACACGTGTTTAAGTGAATTTTTCACATTCAAATCTTTTTCCTGTACTAATTTAATTTTTCTTCATTTATATATTTACAAAGGTAAGGGAGCCTGGAAACAAGGGCTCCCTCCTGTTTCCCGCTACTGTGTACTTTCAGTGGTGTGTACTGAACTATGTTTGTATTGCACTTAAGATATTTTTTTTACAATTTTAAACAAGGGATGGAGAGTGATAAATTGTAGGCTCGAATCTACGTTAAGTTTAATATAATTTCAAGAAAATTAATTTGACTGTATTAAAGCCATTCGACCGATAAACGTTTACATTCCGGATAATTAAACTGAGCTTGTTTATTATCGGATAATTAGAACCTAAAGGGTTAAAAGTGCCAAATTAAATTTTGCATGCCATAGACTAACGCAAAATTTACATATTTTGAAAAAGCAAAAAATGAATGGATGACGATGCTGGAGAATAAATTGTGCGATACAATACACAAGATGAAAGGAAAATAGAAGATACATAACGTCTGGAATTTTAATGAACAAATATTGTTTACTTTTTAAAAAAAAAAACGAAAGCGCAGTTAAAATTAAATATATAAAAATAATAAATTCAGTTTTCTTTTCATTTTATAAAATATAATTAAGTTAAAGAATTAAAACTGATTTTTTTAAAATTTAATTTAAACAGATTTATATAATTTATATTTCCTTTAATCATAACAGATGGCAGCACGTGTGTGTTTGTAGTAGAAAATTAAAAAGAATTTTTTTTTTTTTCCTTGAAAAATGCATAAAATTAGAAGTTAATTCCCAGTAATTTACCGTATAATTAATCTTGAAGTTGTTTAATATACATTTCAAGATTATACGATTATTTTTATTAGAAAAATATAGTGGTTTTAAATATGAACTAGGTATATAAGTAAATAAGAATCTGTATATTTTTCTATAAAATGAGTTTTATAAAAATATAAATAAAAAAAATGGAAAAAAAGCACTTTCCCATCAAATTATATATTATTATTATTATTATTTTTCATATCTTAAATTTTAACTTTTGTGATGCAAAGTCTGTCATTTGCATCATGTTTATTGTATGATAAATTTGAATGTCAGAATGGATTCTATCTGAAAATATAACAAAAATATGTTTACAAATTCTACATTTTCTGATATATATATATATATATATATATTAAAATTTACATGTATTAATGTTTAATATATACATATGTATCTCCAGTAAACAATAAAAATTTGATACTTTCCTAGGGGTATATAACTTTAAAACTTGCATAATACACCCAGGACATTTATTATTTTTGAATAAATATAAATATTCAAAGTAAATTTCATCATGCAGTGGTAGCTTGTAATACAATAAAATCAATAAGTGATGCAATCCTCTTGTAATCTTTTATCCAATGTATATTTTAATGTATTTTATTTTTTTTCATTAATTATTTGTAATAACTAATATTTTAATCTTCTCTTGTAATTGTAAATTAACTAAACAAAATTTTAAATCTGCTTAATGTGTTAAATTCTTGAAAGCATTTTAAAATATTGTAAACATAAAATTAATATATTATATTTATGTTATGAGCAAGCTTATAGATAGATGTTTGTAGATCCTGAAACAATTATTCTTACTTAAACTTTAATTGCTTCATTCATTTAATTATTATTAAATTTGTGTGTATATATATATATAACATTACTAATTATGTTTATTTTCCAGCCTGTGTAATAAATTTCCTTTCCTTCCCGGTAGAAATTGCATCTTCTGCAAATTCTCTGGCCATTTGATAAAAGAAATAGAGATTGTACCAGACATTTTTTAAATGTAAGGAGGGGATTATTTTATAGTATTATAGGCAGGAACGTACATAAACATTTTATTAAAGGTTTAAAAAAGTAATTAAAAACTGTCATTAACCGGCAACTGGGCAAATGTCCAATTTGTAACTAAAATAGATTTGTTGTTCTGGTGGTGTTTTTCTAGTCAAACTACAAACTTCTCTCTTTCATTAGAATAATATAAATATAGTCTTAATATTCTATAGCTTTTCTTCTTAAGAACAAGTTCAAAAGACTTAAAATGTTTACACAATTCACTACAAATTTGGCATTTGACATTTAAGTTAATAACAAGTTTCTTCAAGGATTTTGTTTTTTTATTCTAAAAATTAAAATATTTGTTTGAATATTTTTGTTTTTTAATAAGTAATATAAAAACAAATATTAAAAAAATGTAGATAAATGTTAATAATGGTGAAAAATATACAATCAGATTATATAGTTTTAAATTTGCTTTATTGAAAAAAATTTCAGAAAAGCTGTACTCAAATATTTGAGACGATTTTGAATCGTATAGTAAGAAAATATCTCTTGGTGACATCACGATAAACCTAGCTCATGCATATTAAATTTATTGCACCACTCAAATCGATACTTTTGCCATCTATCGTCGGAAACGTTCGTTGAGACATTTCGTTTCTATGTGTATACAATTATTAAATATTTTGCATAACACATACAAATTACATTTCAAAAAAAAGCATATGTTCTTTGTTCCAGACAAATGACATACTTTTTTTATATTTTTTTAGGAAATGTACCAACCAATAAGATGCATAGACATACAGCCTGTACATAAAAATAAATATTTTTCATACATTATTTACAGTGCCAGACAAATTTGGTATCAAACTAATTATTCTAGATACATTTTTAAAAATGACATAATATCTAGATGTTTATACTAAATAGTAAAAATGATGACTTAAAAATGCTTTTGGGATAAAATACTTCGTTTGGTTTTAAATGCTGGTAAGATGACTACGAAGTGAGAATTTCCAACTGTAAGCAATATTTTCATACACATTAATATTCAATTTGCTATGCAATGATATAAAAATATGCTATAAGCCGTATGACTAAATGCCATTAGAATCCGATTAATTTAAAATTAATTTTTTTTTTTGGCATAAGTTATGCATGTAGTAAAAATGTAGGAATTCATAGTTCTAAGCGAGTTAATCTTTTTCTGGTTTTGAATTCTTGGGCGCAAATATAATACTGCTGTGATGAGATGTGTTTCCTTGGATACCAGAAACTGATGTCAGAATAAAATGAGGTTACCGAATGTCTTAAGTTTTTTGTGCAGATTTGCACAGACTGAAGTTATGCCCTTACTGTCAAAGTGAAACTAATTTTGGTGGATTAATGGTATCGGGGCTGGATAGATCACTGCTGGAACTCCTCTGTTGGCCGGCACACGAAGATATAACTGGAGTCAAGCCACTGGACACTGGTGTTAGACCCGTTCCTCCTTCCATTAGCGATTCATAATTAAAGATTCCACCACTCGGAGTGGAAATTGGGATACCAGTGACGTCGTTGAAATTTGTGGTGTTCACTTTCAGCGAACTACTCCCGTCCGGATTGGTGAATGCGGACGACACCGGAAGAGAGGTAGGACGAGACAGTGGCTTCATCTGAGAAATTTTGTCGGTACCATTAGACAGTGAAATGAGAGTGTTTTTGCCGTTGGACAATATAGAACCATTAGTTGGACGTTTCTGATTCTGATGGCTTGATGAAATCTTGCATGTGGTTTTATGAGCTTCCAAAATAAACTCTAATTCCTCTTTTTGGTTTGTCAATAACTGTATTTCATTCTGCAGGGCCTGACGCTTTTCTTCCAGTCCCTCGGTCTCCTATAATTACAAAAAGAATTTTATAATAATTACTTGATCATTTAAGTCATTATTTAACAATATTTAAAAGTCATAGCAATATTAATTGTTTAAAATTACTGATCTGTAATGACAAAAAAAATGTTAATTGTGAATATTGACATTTTGGATATACATCTCATTGATGTATCTAGTATTTTGTCTTTTATTACAAACAAACTACATGTATTTCTGTTTGTAAAAACTTCTGTATTCTATATTGTAAATAGAAATTTTTCACTTGATTCTCTTTTCAAATCCAAAATAAGGATATGCCAATTCAAGTATCAAGTGTCTTTTGTATAAGTAATAAGAATAAAGATAATAGTATCTAAATATCAAATATCTTAAGTTTGGAAGGAAATCAAAAAATTACAAAACAAACTGGCAATGTTAAGCATATGGTTGTGAATAAAAGTCAGCTGATATTGTTTAACTCATAATTTAATTTTTAGGAATATAAAACATTCATAACAATGAATTTATATTAATGTTCCTTTCATCTTATATATTGTAAAGGAATTTTTAATTACTTTCTGATGTCAGAGTATAACATGTGCATAGCATCCCAAAGTAAGGGAAATATATATTACATATAAAATTTCCACGTCAAGTTAAATATCAAAGATGTATTAAATTATACAGGTATCAAAAAGTCACTGTGCACAGGTAAATCATCATCTTGTAGTTATATTCATTATATTTATTATTACTTTTGTGCACATGCTTAACAAAGCTATTCCAATTTATTATCAATAACTATTTAGTAAAAATTGAAAGTTAATTTATTTAAATTATTAAACTTTCACTAAATGTATTAAATTTCATTTACATCTGAAAAACTTCAGATTATTCTCTTATCAGTAATCTAAAATATAATTTCAAAACAAAACTAACTAAGAAGAGATTTGAGTATTAGAAATTTTTTCAATTAAATTTCAGATATAGAGATAGAAAGTAATTCAACTTTTTAATTTCTTCATATATAAAGTATTTATTAAATATAATTTGAAATAATTTATTACTAATACACAGTTTTGTTTGTAATGTAATAATTTCATTAATACAACTTTATATTAAGTAAAAAATATGTAGAAGAAACTAAAATGTCTTCAGTTTCTTCATGTCCAGTCACCAGGAACAACAGTTTCCTATTGCAGAGATGACCTTTTATTAAAAACTAAGCATCTGCAAAAATATTCAAATGGCCATTTTAATTATTGGCTTGTCATCTGTGAACTTTTTAAATTGTTTTGCATATTTTTGCAAAGCATAGTCTCTAATAAAAGGTCATCTCTGCAATGGGAGACTGTTGTCCTGGCAACCGAATATGACAAAAATAAAGACATTTTAGTTTCTTCTACATATTTTTTACTGTGTAAATATTGTCAGCCATTTTAATTAAATTAATTTTAAGTGTTTAGAAATGTTCATTTGATGAAATTAAAAATCCACATTGTATAAGTAATTAAATATTGTTCTAATAAACTTACAGAATTCATATAAATACTAAAAATTCTAGTTAGATTTATATTGTCAGATATTAGAAATGAAAATTAATAAAGTATGGCTCTTTATTTTAGTAAAGTCTTAAATAATTTTTAAAAATTTTATTAATTTCTTTAATAAAATGTAACATTTTAGTAATCTATAAGTTAACAAAAAAATTTCTTTAATTAAATACAGCAACAAATAAAATTGATTTTACTAAAAAATACTATTGTTTAGCATTTAAATGAATTACGAACTGTTAAGTTCAGTAAATAGTAATGACAGATGTCATATTTCTTGTTTCTTTGTAGAAATCAAAACTTTAGAATGTGTAAATTGAATGAAAATAATCACACATCACCACTAACATCTGAAAACATTTGAAGTAAATATGAATATATGTGCAATAAAAATTGGTTTAATTATGAGTTTTTAAATGGTATGAAGAGCTGTACTCATAAATAGCTTCCTTTAGTATTAGAGATAAATCAAAATGATTTATATATATAATATAAGGTATTTAGTAAAGAAATTATGAAAATGAAAAATGTTGTGTTCTTATAATACACAATTTAATAAAAATAGTGCTATTAAAAAGTTTTAATTAAATGCACTTCACTTTTTTTATTTCTTTTTACAAAAAGAAATAAAAATACTTTCTCTTAAATATTTGCAATTAAAGAAACTAGATACAAGAATAACATATGAAACACCAAAGAGCAGAAGTGACTGGTCATTGGTGCCCAGCCCTCGGCACCAATAATTTTATTAAATCAAATTATTCAACAACAAAAATAAGTTGTTAATCAAAACTTAGTATTTTTTAATTTAGATTATTGTTATAAAAATAATCATTTCCACAAAAATATATATTTATTATTGCATTCTATCATACCTGGAGCCAACCCTCAGATAAGAAGCACAAGGAGAAATTACCTGTAGAAACACATGCTGATGCTATTAGTTGTCACTAGTTGGCAACCAATGAAACATGCATGAGTTTATATTGCATCGTAGCAAGCTCAGTTGGGCCTGTTCTCAAATGAACTCTTAATTGAACATATGGTTGTGTGCATATCATTACATTTCACAATCTTTTGTACTTCATATTTTTAACTGATTCAATAATTATTAATTATACATTAATTTTTTTCAATTTTGTTTCGATTTTTAAATGCCTCTTAAATGTTTGTCACTTTCATTATTTTTCATTTTCGTAAATTATTAATACTAATGTAATGTAATGTAACTGCATATTTTGAACCCATTGTCACGGTATTCTTCATAACTTTTCTGATTAATATACAAACCTGAATAGACAAACAAACAATTGTGCAAGAAAAGATGTACTTGTTCTATTATTTATTTATTTATATTAAAATTTTGCTTTTATATTATTAATCTAAACTTTTCAACCTGACCTCACAAGCTACCATTGCTAGAAAGCAAGACTGGAAAAAAAAATTCTAAGCTAGCAAAGTAATTTTCAATATCAATATTTATGTATTCTGAGACATCTATTTTTGATTTTATTCTTATTGAAATCAGAAAAGAACTAAAAACAGTGGATTTCAATGCAAAAAAACTAAAAATAAAACATCTGAAAACAAAAACAGGCGAAATAGCTAGGGAGATTTAAACAATCATCCAAAACAGACTTTACATAAAACTATACAGACAGATGAAAATTTGAAGCAGAAGCAATGGGATTTAAGAATTTACTAAACCAACTATTATATTTTAATATTGCATGAACAATGCTATCTCTCCTTCAAAATAAATTCTGCATTAAAAAATTTTATACCATACCAGAAATTTCAGGGGATTTGAACCCCAAAATCTCTTAAATATAAAACTAACTTTTGAGAGCAGAAATAACATCAAGTATAAAAAAATATAACCTACATTGTTTTTTTACTTAAATTGTCAAACATGAATCAAATACATTATATAAACTTTAAAAATTGAAATAAGCTTTGTCTTTTACATTGAATTTTCTCTTTTCAGGTCATTAACTTTTGATTATACAATACTGCAAATTTAAACAGAATAAATCAATGTGACAAATCAAATCTGTTCATTTGAATAAGAAAAAGGGAAATTGCAAAATTTTCAATTTATATAATTGATATTTATTCTTATAAAAAAAAACTGTTCAATAAAGTCTGTTATAATATATTTCTTTTTAAAGATATCAAACGTATTTGGAAGAAATATTATCCAAAATTAACCTTACCATTAAGAGGTTATTGGTATGATCCATGCGTCTTTTACGGCACCTAGCAGCTGCAAGTTTGTTCCTTTCACGCCTTAGCCTTCTTCTTTCTTCTTCTTCAGGAGATAACTATTAAAAAAATAAAATTTTAAAAATTTAATTCTAATTCCTATGTTTACAGTTTTATCGAGGATCTTTTATTAGGTAAAATAAAAAATATAGTTGCAGATAAAAGTATATATCGAGATAGTAATAATCTTTTTATTTTATGAAATATAGTAATTACTTTCTCATCCTTCATCGGTTTTCGTCCACCTTGATTTCTTCCGGATGGCTTGGATGAGGGTGTTGTCATGGCATTACCGGACGTATTGACGGCGTGTCTAACAGTGTTTGCCAATGTTGCTTGGACGCAGGGTGATAACCAACCATCGTTTTCTTCGTCTTTTTGATTCAGTTGATAATTAGTATTACCGTTTTGGCCCATGAGGGACGATCCCGAAATGTTGACTACTGGAGGTACGAAACCGGCCTGGTGCTGATGCTCGAGAGGCGGCGGAGGAATCGGCTGTATGTCAAAGATAGACTCTTCGATATTTTTCAGCGTCGTGGGTGTCAATGTGGGCGTAGTTCGAGTGGGTATGCCGGAGGTCATCCCATCAACATTAGCAAACTGAAAGTAAAACTCGAACTTAAACTTCAGAAGACTTTAAACCAGTTTACTGACTACAGAATGTCATTGAATTTGAGTACAAAGAATCAAAGTAGTAACGACGACTTTGTTTAGTCATTCGTTAGGTAATAAACAAACAAACATTCGTATTCGCAGAATATAAAGGTCACTCGCATTTGCTTAACTTTCAACAATAGATTTTTCATAAACAAATAATCACATTTTATAAACTGTCAATTTAAAGAAGCCTTAGCTATTATTTTAAAATATTAGTAATCTTTTTAGTGTAATATTTCGTATAAAAAAAAATTCTAAACTTTGTAGAATATTTTTGAAATTCAAATTTTAAAGAAAACAAAATTATTAAATTAAAGAAAATAATTAGAACTATAAACTTATTTCATGCTATAAAGAGGGAGAAAGAATTCATCATCAACTAAAAAATCAACACAAATTCTAAAATAAAATTTACCTACCCATATAAGGCAACAATTGAAGATAACTAAAACATGGCAGCAGTTATCAAAAAATACTTTACAACGTATAAAAATAAAGGTAAAAAATTTCGATTTATCTCAAAAATTTAATTATGAAAGTTCTATTTTATCAAAATCAATATCGAGAAGGGAGGAGAAGAAGGAACTAAAAAAAAATAAAATAAAATAAATTCAACTATCTCCACTTCCTCTAGGCAACAAAAGCAACAAAAAAATTTTTTATATAAAATGAAAAATTAATATATCAAAAAACGTAACATTTACGTTTAAAAAAAGAAATATATATATATATGAAATTACGTTCTGTCATGAAATTCGCATGAGGAGTTTATGACTGGGTGCTGCAAGACTTACATTAACCACGTGCGTTTATCGAGTGCAAGTCACGAGGAGATGACGTCAGCCTCACACGCTATTAATCGGAAACAAAGTGGCAGAACAATAGCTATAAAAATCGATCCGCTTGCCGACTCGAGTATTGTTAAATTACTTACTTCGCTCCAAATGAATTCTACTTAAATACCTGTACGAACTCCAACCTTGACATTACCACCGGAAATGGGTTTTTACCTGTACACGCGACTGACTCGTGGCGTTGTACCGTTGCACAATTTCCTGTATACAGCGGGATAAAGGGGGAAATGAACAGATTCGAAGTAAAAAGCACGAATTACACTAAATTATACGTAGAATAAGATACGAAAATATCTTTCGAATGATAATGGGGAGGGAGGGGGAAGAAGAGAAGCGGGAGGAGACGTTTGAGTGAACACTACTTCCTTTCTAGTTCGCAAAATACGCGAAAATATTTTTTATACACCCGTATACATAGCTTAACTTCGACGTAAACTATCGAAAGAAGTTAAGCGATTTCGTCATGAATGGGGGTTTCGAAATCGATACTGATGACCAGTTTTATTTTACGTTATACGGCATACCTGAGTTTTTTATCGCCACTTTTGAATCTGTATCTCTTATCGAAAATGAAAAAAATATATATATCTTAAAAGGAAATAACGAGAAAAAAGATTTCGACATAATTTAACTAAAAGACCACGAACAACAAAATAAAGCTTAACATTTTTAATCAGAGTAGAATGGAGGAGGAGGAGGGGAAAAAACCAAGACAATCCAACCCATAAAACCCACATCCCGTCAACAGGGCGACTTGGGACAGATGTTGCCACGTCGGTTCGTTCGTTTCCTAGCAACCGACCCCGGGTGGGAGAGGGATATTTGCAGGGGCGCCCGACAGACTGCATGCACTTTTAACTGCAGTGTGTTACGCCCATCTTTCGAGTCGCGACTCTAAAAAGCCAAAGATCTCGTACATCCGCAACAAGGCGATTAATTCAAAAAAAAAATATTTCCCAGTATAATACAATTATTATTTTGTCTCTTGTTACATCCGAAAGCCTTAGAGAAGAAGAAAAAAAAACAGGAGGGAGGAGGAGGAGAAACAGATAAAAGCAGACTAAGATTCCAGAAGCTGCTCTAAATAGCTTAGCGAGCGTGATATCTGATTGCCCATTTAAGAGAGAGATTCTGGAGAACAAAGAGTGAACAAGTTCTTTCACTAGAATAGTTAACTTTTAACGGAAACGTCAGAATCATCCCCAGTAGGAATTAAGAGGGGAAAAATGAGGAAAATTTCAAATATCCTGCTCGGCCGATGGATCATTATTTTAACGACGGCTCAAAATGCGCTAAAACTTTATGGGCGACAATCAAAAACATGTGCTAAATCAGCTGCATTCTTACCTGACAGACGATTCTCTCCTATTCTTTGCCTGTCGGGTATGCGAAGTATTTGGAGACGGTCGGACGGGAGAAAAGATTGCCCTGTCAATGAGTCTTCTTCGCAGCAAACGAGAGCGCATCCAGTTAAATTATTCAATGATTTATCTACCTAAAGCCATCGTCTAATTCCAGAATAATAAAAGCCTGTTTATTGGGGGAAATTTTTACCTTTTACGTAACACGCTATTAATAGAATTAGAAGAAGAAAAAAAAAAGATCCGTTATGAAGGATAATCGACCTTAACTTAAAAAATGACAGTTTGCCCGGGGAAAATTTTCACATGTGAGCAACAACGTGAAATTTAGGTTAGTGCAGCCGAGGGTATCGAGAAAGCAAAGAATTCGGATATTTTCGCATTTATCCCCTCCCGTTTCGCCTTCATAAACAAACTGCATTTGCCAAGACAAACTTGTTTTAGAGTTAGGAAAGTGTACAGTTATAGTTCGCAATTCCAGTCCGTGCTCTAAAATAACAATTAACACCGACGAATATTTTATTTCTATAGAGACGAGAGAAGAAAAGAGAAATTTTATAAAGGGGGAAGAACTAGGAATCTCCACCAAACGGTTCCATACTCCAGCAACGTTGGCATTACAAGTTGCTCTTTCAAATTACGTCAAAATATTTCAATAGGAATGGTGCAATGACAGTTTGTATTTAAACAGTGAAGGCTGAGCATTTTTAAATGGTTATTTTTAAACGGTTTGTCTCTCGGTGTGCCAGGTGCATGAAATTCATGACAATCTTCGCTAGGTGATAAAACGCATCTAGACACGTCCCCTAGGGTCCTTGACTTGTTTGCCAGTACTAAATATAGCAATGGGGGAGAAAAAAACACAGCAAAACGTCTCTCCTCAGATTATGTTATCGACGTTTGCGTAAAATTCTTTTTAAACTTACGGAATAAGTGCCGTAATCACTACTCTCAATCGACATTTTCTATTATTATTTCTCTACGAAACTTCTAATGACCTACACTTATATTATTGTTATTAAGAAGATAATTAAGAAACTTAGCATATTAAATACATTTATATAAACTTTAAATTTTTCTAGGAAGGTTTAATAATTATAATAATTAAATATAGGCCTGACATTTTTCTTAGTAAATCAGAATCAATGCAAATTTTTAGAAAATAAAATTCTGTAATGAAACTAAATTTGAGTAATATTAAATTTATTTCAAAATTATTACTCAAATTTAGTTTCATTACGAATTAAAGTTTTATATTAAAAAATAATATTTAAAAACTACAAAAAAAGAAAAAATAATTCAGTGTATGTGCATAATAAATTTCACTGTTTAAAATTTCATTAAAAAAAAAAAAATTATATATAAAATTAAACTTACATGCTGTATATCATGCATATGATACATTTTCTAGTTTAATAAGTACTGATTTACAGGAAAATTTTGGCGAAGCAAGTTGCAACGAAAATTACCTTAGCATGTCATTTACCTGCTGTGTTTACTGTTGTGAACATTTGGAAACAGAGCTGAACAAATGTCTCTAGTCATGTATTCATTGGGTGATAGGTTGTTAATGTTTGCCACACCATGTGTTGTTTAACCCAAAGTTCAAAAAGGAAATTTACCGTAGCATTAAAAGAAAAACGGTGCATTTTAAGAATATACGGTGGTAATTTTATAGTAAGATAATTATTTATTGTTATACTAGTATGGTAAAACTGTTATAAATTTGGAATATGACAGTATATTTTTCACTTATAATTCTTTATACAATTAAATATTTAAATAATATTTTATGGTAATTAATTTAAAAAAAAAACAATTTGTTACTTAAAAAAAGGTCTAAAACATGTTTTAAAACTTTCAAAAACTTATTAATATTTTTCGAAAGGAAACTATATTCTTTATTATAAAATTTTTATAAAAATAAAAAGCTTTTTTTTTAAATTGAATAAAAAAAAAGTTAACAAAATGAAATAAAAGAAAAACTGAGTTAGAAAGAATAATAAAAAGTGAATTTAAAAACAAATACATGAATTGAAGACGTTTTCTTTTATAATATTTACATTTTTGAATAAGTTTAAAAAAAAATAAATACTATATTTCAGTTTATATAAAAAAAAAAGTAATCAGTAGAATATTTATTTTTATTTAAAATAAATTTGATTCTTGGAAAGAAAAATCAATATGAAAAAAAATAATAAATTTCGGCATAGTTTAAAGTCTCTGCTTTGTCTAGTCAAAATAACCAAAAACAGATGTGGCAGTTTTATAAACTTAAAATTTTTTCTTCCTTTTATTAATTTTTTGTTAAAAATTTATTATAATTAGAATCATAATTTATATTTATTTTAGTAAGAAACACTTGTTTCATATTTCTAAAATTAATGGGTTTACCAGCTTCTCTTGGCACACTAAAGTAAACAAATGAGGTAAGAATTATGTCATAACAGCAAAAAATATTGCTACAATTTACTTTTTTCCCCCCTCTCAAAGATAATATAGGAGGGTGTTTTATAAACATTTTCAGAATGGAAATAGACATTTTAAGCTTATTCAAAAATCATTTTATAACTTATTTCTTCTAAGAGAAAATTATTTATGCTATTATATATTTTCATTTTTTAATACTGAATATTCTACAGATGTTTTAGAATTAAAATGAGATTCAGTTTTAAAACAGTTTACAAATTTATTGTTGTACCTTAATTCAATTTTTTTTTTTGTTTTCTTCTTATGATGACAAACAGGTGTTTGTTTCAGAATTGAATGACAAACAGGTGGACAGACACTTAAATATAGAAAACTGAAAAATGATGAATCCATTCTTATCATATGATATCATACTTGCCAAAGCAATTACATAAAAGACCTAACCGTGTAAAGATGTAAAATGAGGATTAAAATGGTAAGATAGAAGTGCATGCTTATTGCAAAAACATTTTATCAGTTTTGCTATCAATTTTAATGTTATAATATATCACTTGCAACAAAATATTTAGCAGTTTATCTTAAATTTAAAAGGAAAGCTAATTTTAGAAGTATTTCAAAATCTAAAAAAACTATTAGATATAATTTTTTTTTAATGTTTCTTTAATTTCTCATTCTATTATTAACTGCATGAATAAGATAGATGAACAGGAAAGCTTCCTCAAGTCCTAATTAATCACATATCAAACCAACCACCATAAAAAATTAGAAGAATTTAAAGAATTTTTTTTACATAAATGATGTATCCATAGCTTTTTTTTTTCCAATTTAAAAATACAAATTAATTAACTACGCCAAAATAATAATAATAAAATTTAGTATTTTATTATCTTAAATATTTATAATGGAAATT